GTCGCGATTTCATTCCCCAGTTGAACAAGCCGGTATCACCTTGCAATTACGGTGATCGTTTGAAGGAACAATTGTGTGACCACCTGGTGGCAGGTATAAATACCTTGATACTTCAGCGGAAAATGCAAGGAACAAAGGATCTAACGATCGTAGTGGCATGAAGGATCTGTCGATAATGTGATGATGTGATACAAGCGACTTCCAGTGAAGCAGTCACTCTATTCCAACGGCAGAAGCAGAGACCAGTCCGATCTCCAATGGCCAAGCACACCTCGAAGCTACAACATGACCCTTCCGGTAACGACAAACACATCAACCCGTGTCTATCACGTGGAGTTTACCACTTGCGCTCTAACTGTCGATTCCATAATGCCAAGTTGACAAAATATTGAAAATTGGTTCTCGTAGCTCGGATGAACTGTGCTTGTGATGATGACACCTCGGCTGGTGATGAAACGTTTGCAAACAAATTGCTAAGCTCGGCGAACAGGTGAAATGGAATAATGCCAAATATCACGCGTGTGGGAAAGCTGGCCACATCCGGAGAGTTTGCGAACAACCCCGCTGCAACCTGGCACAAACAAACATCAGCCGAAAATGACACAAGCCTTGTGCTTTCCCTACGAACTGAAAGTCAATGTGCTGAATTCCTATACAAAGATGCAACACTACAGTCAGGCGCGAAGCACAAATTCATTGTTTACACAGGAAGCAGGGAATCTATTATTTTTATTGCAGTGCTTCGGTCGATCTCTCCCCAAGCCGAATTCCGTCTAACGTATGTGACAGGACACAAGCTGCTACTGATGAGTGAAGTTCAACTGATGGTGCACTATACAGAAAACCGCTTTGTTCATATACGCTTCTTGATAGCCAAAAGCAGTCCATCCATACTCGGTTTAGCCGTCATTCGTGCGTTGAATCATTCTATGCCACTTCATACCAGTACCGCACCCAAGGTGCACATGCATCTTCAGGAGGCATGAACGTTCAGCCGGCCAAATTGGAAGTTGACGGTGAGCCGATCTTCATGAAACGGCGTGCAATCCCATATAGTCAACCTGAAGGTGTATTGAAGGCAATCGAAAAAATGGAGCGTGTTGATATCATCACTCGTGTCACATCACGCGCAACCCCAAATGTGGTAGCGGTTACGCTATATACTATATGTGGCAGATATGCTTTTGGCTCGGCCTGGATGAATGCTAGGTGTGTGGAAAGACGTGAGCGTGAATGTCCATTTGAGTGTGGCTGCCGTTCAGCTTGAGGCTTTGTCCTCTCATGCAGTGGTTAGGGGCTGGGTTGAACATTTCACCGATATTGAGCCCTGACAGACCTCGCGTATGGGAAAATCTCTATCAGGTCACCCCGCACTCGAACTAGAAGAGGCTGAGTTCCCTTAACGTCTGTTAATAGCTAATACCCCTATGTCCAGCTGCCATTCGGGTGTCCAGAAGCTGCAGCTTTTCTAAGCATAGTATGTCTTTCCTCTTATTATGGTGCTTACGCCTGGACACAATATTTTAAATGAGGACGAACAGTGGTCTATATAAATGTATGAAAATCTCCAGTTGGCTGCTAAGGAATGTTGCACAAACGCGAAATAATTCCTTTCTTGCCTTGTAGATTGCTCTGAGCTGCGGGTTTGAAGTTGTTTAATAATAATCCCAAGGTCTCTCGTTTGTGAGGTCTGTTGTTGCGGTAGACTGTTATCAAGTATGTGTCGGATCTGGTGGTCAAAAGCCGACACTTGGTGAGATTCAGAGAAAGATCCCTCTGAACATCGATGAACTATTTCTAAATCCCTCTGTATTTGAAGGCCCGTCATTTTGACGCTATCGGCAAAAATGAAGCAAGGATTTTGGAGATCCTGTGCCAATTCGTTTATGAACATTAGAAACGTTAGGGGTCCTAACATAGAGCCTCGTGGGACTCCGCTAGAGATCACTCCTGTTTCCGACTGATGGTCTCCCACCCTCACCTTAAAGGTGCGACTGCTCAAAAATGACTTGAGCTAATTTCTTTTGTTGCCTTCTATACCCAGTCCTTGTAAGTTGACGTCCAACAGCCGATGACTGACGGAGTCGAAGACCTTTGAGAAATCTAAACAGCATAAATATACTTTCCTGCCCTCGTCCAACCGCTGCTTAACCTCACCCAAAAATACCAGCAGATTGGTGAGACATTAACTACGCTCAACGAAACCATGCTGCGTCGGTGTCAAAAGTCGATCACGTACTAGGTGCAGGCATATCTGCTTCCCAACCAATCGTTCTAAGCACTTGCACAGGATCGACGTTAGGCTCTCGGGTCTGTAGTTTTCGGATTTCGACATGGACCCAGATTTGTGCAGGGCACTACTATCGCCGTGCGTCTATCATCTGGTAACGTAGCGTTTTGGAGCGATTCCCTAAAGAGCCTGGTGATTGGTCCTGTTGGAAACTCGGCTAATGGCTGAACTATACTTCAAAACTGTTCTGATTCTGTCTCAGAGCCCTGATCATTCTCTATTCGAACGAAAAACACAAAATATACCGGCAATCAAAGAAAAGATTGGGCGCGAGTCGTCTGCTTCACTCGATTCCGCTCCATACCAATATGAGAAAATGCAGACAGCAAACCGTTTCCTGACGGAGCGTAGATGCACATTGTTGGGATATATCAAAGCAGAAGAAAAAAAAGACGAAAAAGGAATAATCATTTCAGAATGATTTTGGTCGACTTTATTTGATTACTTTTTTCTACCTTTTTCCAGTAATTAGAAACGTTTTTGTGTGTATGAAGCTAAAGGTGGAATTAACAGATTTATTTGTTTGTATGAGTGTGTGGTACCGAATAAAACGACTGGACTAATACGAATGAATCAGAAAGATGAATGTGGATGAAGAGGAGGAGAAAGGGCAATTCGGAGGATGGGGCGAGGCAACACAGACGACAGACGATGAATTCGGAGCAGATCAATCGTCCTGCTGAAGGGAACATCGAACCATCAAATGATTCACGCACCCTGTTCAAGCATTACATGTTCGGATAATTAAAGATAAAAAAGTGTTTTGACTGTTCTAATGTGTATTATTTGTGAAGTGTGTAGGTAGGAAAGCATCAATTGATGGTGTAAGACTAACCGCTAAGTTAGAGTGCTGTATGCAACCCACATGCATACATACGTATATCTGGACTATCAACTACCAGACAAGTGAGGTTTATGGTAACAGGGAGAGTAATAGAAAACGAAACGGCTTATTCAGAAATCAATAACGCACAGGTGTAAACAGTATTCCGAGGTAAAAAGGTTTAACTGACATAGCGGCAAGGAGCGAGATGAGTAACGTTTTACTAGGGTTCAACATGAGTAATGCTCTTGGGGTATAGTCCGTAAACGCGGTTCTATGTACGCTTACGGGTGTGTGATGTGATGTATCAAAATCCCGAACTTTATTATCTGCACATAAAACATACAAGTGTGTGCGTTTAAAAATAGGGGGATAAAGCAAAACCCACAGTTTCCGAGAGATTCCGTGCTGCAGACTAGTAACGAATTGTGGATTGATTGTGAAATAGCAATTACAAAGAGGCCAGAATTCAGAATCAACAAGAACAAATAAGTCCAAATCGCACGCGGATTGTGAACAGGATGTCTAGCTGCATTCTCGATCACAGGAATGCCATCATCATTCCGTGTGAATAACTTGAAACGAAGTGAGCAATGAGGGGGATAGATAAACTTGGGTGTAAGCAAAGTTCGACTATAACTCCGCTGTAGCATTTCTCTTCCTGATCCGCAACTCTGCTAAGAAAGCAAAAGAACTGATTGTGCAACAGGGAGAGAGAATAAGTTGTGAGAAATGCATGCAGAATAACGATAAACGGAGTTCAACATTAGGACTATAATGTACGGATGACAGGTGAAGTCTAGGGGCCACCAGAGCGGGACCGGGAAAAGAAAACGATGCGGAACGGCGGTATGCAAGATGAGCCCTATAGTGTACGAAGACCTACGTTTGTGTGTGTGAGGCGAGGAGTGTGAAGGAGCTAGTTGCACAAATGGAAAGAAATCTTTGTGAGAATCAAAAAACCGGAAGGTTTGGGTGAATGGGTGCCACAGGTAGTGTGGCTTTCAGGACGATCAGAGTAGACAATCATTGTGAGGAAAAAGAAAATAAAAAAAGAAAATATATAACTCAGTTCACAGTTTAAAGCCCAAGCAGACTTAGAAGCGTTGGGATTAAATCTGAATGTGACAAAAGGGGACTGTTTCAGGCTCGGATAGGAATACGGATATGAAGAATGACTAGATTCGGTGTATGGAATTGGAGCCAGGACATCTGTTGGGTTGTCCTATTTTGTGTAGCTCAGCATCTCCTTTTTATCCGACTTCCGGTGGCAACCAAAGTGATCGCCTGGTTTTGTTATGACTTTCAAACAAAGCACCAAGGATCGGAGGAAATTCGTGCACGAGTGGTAGTGTAAATTTGTGTATATAGATTCGTGTTGATTAGACGTATAAGACTACAAAAATACCGAATTGTGAAGATTGACATACAAAAAGTAATGCAGTGAGCTTTGTACCTACGGGATACGCAGTGCGATGATGACTAGATTGATCAGGTGACCTTTGAAAGGTCTATCTTGTCTATCGAGATCAAAGATAAGTGTCGAGATGAAGAGGTTTTCCAGTGGCAAAATAAATGACTCGGCAAAACCTTAGGTCTACAAACAACACTACTGGGCAAACGAGGGTATAATCGCAATTGTTCTGGCGTGGAGAGGGCTTATTGTGTGCGTGTATCAAAGGGAACAGTGGTTGACTGGTTGGTTCGTAATGATGGGTCATTCAATCAATCAGTCAATGAACACAAGCAAATAGGTCACTCGTGATCGAATACTTTGAGAATGATGGTAGCATCTGTGATGATTAGGAAGAGTGGTGACCAGTGCAAAGATCGGGAGGTGAGGATAAGGAGAACGTGGGAAACAACTCAGATGTTAAAGTGTAACCACTAAACACGCGGCTGGCGTCGACTGGTCTCCGGTGAACCTTGATGGGAAGGTGGATTGACCGTTATCTGCGGTGCAGGTAGCATGGGTCGCGTAGCATTGGAGTTATTTTGATCAACTTCACTATCATCCATCGNTGAACTCTGAGCCTGATCCTCCGTTCCACCAGTCTCAGCTTGTTCTTTCGGGTCGATGCAGAACAAAACCAGTTTCTTCGGATCCCCTTTTGTCGCATTCGTTTCGTCCGGTTCGTTAAGCTGATTCGTTTCAGTTGATCCCGGAGTTGCGCTATCTGTCTCATCACGGGTTTTTCGGCGCCTGACACGCTTACCAAAGTTATCCTTTGTTTTGGATTGCCTGTAATTGATGTATCAAGTTTAAATTTTATCGGAATGTTTAAACAAAGCGGGATAACCTGGATAAGAAAAACACTACTATTTAAAACTTGAAACCGATACCTGCATGTTTGATTAAAGCAGACAAATATTAGTCAAGGGATTTTTAATACACACATTTTGTGCGGTGGTTAGTAGACGGGGTGAAGCCCCTAGTCGTGTAGATCTGCAATTCAGTGACGGAATCCGGCAGTTTAAGCCTCAGGACTTGGAGTGATGAACCACTAGGTTAGGCATGATATTGAACCGGACCACAAGGCTGTCTATTACAAAAGTTGACTGGCGGTGGAGGGGTTCGAATGTTGGATTATAGGGTCCAAAGGATGCCGGTGACAGCGAATAAACCACTGCACCACTACCACCCATTTATGCAATAGAATCATAAGACCGGTAAATACAAGCTGATGCAAAATCTCCTGAATCGAGGACCGCTTCGAAAGATTTCTACTTTAAACCTAATCTATATACAACTGTAAAAAATAAATAAATCTTAAGTCCAAATCAAGGTCAGTTTGAGATACATTGTGACCACCTTTTTCGCTCTGAATTAAAAATGGACCTTTGTTCCTTTCAGTTTTCGACTAAAAATGTACAGGGATAGGTGGTAAATCCCCCTGCCAAACTGGCGCTTAGTAATGTTTATAAAAACGGAAACTGAACTGAAACTTTAATAAATCTCCTAATTTTCTTCATTCGTTCATCAAATTTATCACAGATTGGTTGGACTGTAAATCTTTGTAAATGTGTTAAACTTTCCCATTTTTCCACCATATATAAATACTGGGTTATATCCGGCTCCCGGTTAACGACTGAATTGTTGGAAGACTGTGCGATTCGTATACTCCGATTGTTTCTTTCCTGCTAATCTCAAAATGGTCTTGTCATTTTCACCAAATTTCTCTCAAAGTCAGAGAAATCGACTTTGACGTTTCACGTTTGTGTCACCCGAGGGTTCTGTTACACACAATTATGAAATCCATGTATTTGCTTTTACTGGACGTAGAGCTGCCTTGTTGTCGTAAGCTTTTATTTTGGTTAGGTATCTTTAAAAAGGCATCCAGGATTGTAACTTCCGTATAAAACGCCAATTATTTTTCTCATCAATCATCCATAATAATTTTTATTTTATTGTTTTCACGCACGTCTGAATCCAGCCTGTGACCAAACAAATCATGGTACAATAATTTTTATGAAAAAGATATACGTTCCATAATTTGCATGTGGGTGGAATACTGCCAGGTGGCCCACACTAATGCAGGTGAATTCTCTTGAGGAATCCACAGCCGGAGCATTCGGCCAGCCAAAGCCTGACCCGCAAGGCAGCGGGGCGGTTTGCGAAAACCACAATCCATTGGGGTCCGGTGTCCAGTTCATTGGATCACACGACCAT